CGTTCTAGACGCAGCAGCCGCAAAGAGTACAGAAATATTAACTTACAGATCCTTGACAGGAATTGGCGTTCTTTTGCGAGCATTTATGGTCTATGAAATCTTATGTAATGGTTATGACGATCCTGAACAGGTTCAATACTGCAGACTTCTGGAGCGCGGGTAGATCGCTTGTCACTTTAATGACAAAAAACAATAGTGATCTAGCCTGCGCAAAATATATGAAATATACCCTAGTCATGGATGTTTGTATTAATCTAATAAGTATGTATTTTTTTAATTCCTCCCTGTCCTCTCCACCATCGGACAATCAACAAGCCAAGAGGCTTTTGTTACGCAAAGACAGAGCGGTTTACCTTCTTTGATGGATAGAGATGGATTTCATAATTATTTACCACCAGATCGGATTGCGGCTTATAATGGGTTAAAAATTGTAACAAAAGGGAAAATATGCGTTGTCGTTCTAAGAACTATGATAGAATGATCCACAGTCTTCAATTATACTGGCTCTCTTATTCATCTTGGTGACAGAAAAGGTGAGAAAGTGGTGACAACGCATACGGTCTCCTAAAAGGATTCCTATCACTAATTATTAAACAAATAGTTAAAGCCAGCAGTTACTGTTTTTACCTACAATTTTGTATAATTCTAGCTGTAATATATATAGATATATACAAACTGGAAATTTTAATAAATATTCTATGGAATTCTATGTCATAAAGATTTCTTACAAACCAATTTTAATTTATTTAGATCTATAGCAATATGTAAAACATTTTTTTTTTTAATATAGGATAGGGTGACAAACGAGCACACAGTCCACCTGATGGTGAGTGGTTGTTGTGGCCCATAAACATCTATATCTATCCAACGAGGATTCTTTTGCGAATCAAAATGCACATATGCGTTGTCACCCGTGAGGACTAAGATGGAATGCCTCTTTTTCTGGAAAAAGGGTCTCCGGTTCTCTGCACTCACCATACGAAACACTGCAGTGTTGAGCAGCTATTTTACGCTGGTATTCTGTGAGAGCGTGGTCCTTTTCCGGTCGAAAAAAAATTATCAACATGCGCTAATTAAAACAAACAACATTGAGTTTGAAATGTATTTAGTACCTGTGTACCATTACCGAATCAAGTAGGCCGTGTCTACCGAAATACTTCAACTTAATAAAATTTTGAAAAGCTTTTCGCTTATGCATTTTAATGAATATTTTCAACAATGTCGGTCAAGTATATCATTCATTAGTAACTCATAATTGCTTTCTATTTAATGATGAAATTGAAAGCAAAAGAAATTTATTATTTATATCTATCCTTCGTATTCTTTATAAATAACTAGCGACCCGCCCCGGCTTCGCTCGGTTGATTTCTGGATCGTTAACAACAACGTCACCTACCTGATTCAATTGTGAATCTAAACCATTCTCTAATCAATACACAAAATTTCATCAAAATCGGGCCAGCCGTTTAAGAGGAGTTCAGTCACATACACACAGACAGAAGAATATGTAATATATAATATGCATGTATAATACATATAAAACTTCTTCTTGAGTCATTCTGTCTATCGATGTACCGCATCAAAACCCGTTGCGTAGTTTAAAAGATTAAGCGTACAGACGCCGGGAAGCGTATGTAGAGATACAAATAATACAAAGGATAGGACTTCACGCCTTTGGGTGATATTAATGCGTGATTTTTTGGGATTAGAACAAGACAAACTACTCAGTTGCAAATTGCAAAAAATCACGTGGATGTTCAAGGACTGCTTATGTGAAACCATGAATCACGAGAAGTTAATAAGGTTCCGCAGTGATAGTTACAGGATCCATCACTCCGTTTCATCTAGTAGGTGTTGTAACTGACAGGCGAATATTGATGGTTCGAGAAAGATCGAATGGCTACCGACAGTTGGCGGCATAACCATCTCGTGTAAAATATCCACCCGGCGACGGTGAGCAGTGTAAAAGGTGCCAGATATCAAATTCAAAGTAGTAGGCCTTATTTGTGAGTAGCGCTAGCTACCAAACAAGCGGCCAAGTGCGAGTCGGACTCGTCCATGAAGGGTTCCGTAGTAAAAAGTAGCATAATATAAGTTTCTTGTAGTTCTTTGTAACTTTGATCGATGTTTTAATAATAGTGTATTTTATTTTATTTTTATATTTGAGTTGATTGCATGAAAGGTAAATTGCAGTTTACGATTTATGACGTATTAAAAAAAAACTACTTACTAGATCTCGTTGAAACCGGTGGAAGTTTACATGGTAATGTACATCGTATATGTTTTTTTAGTTTTATCATTCTTTTATTTTAGAAGTTACAGGGGGAGGGACACACATTTTACCACTTTGGAAGTGTCTCTCGCGCAAACTATTCAGTTTAGAAAAAAATGATATTAGAAACCTCAATATTATTTTTGAAGATCTATCCATAGATACCCCACACGTATGGTTTGATAAAAAAATTTTTTTGAGTTTCAGTTCTAAGTATTGGGAATCCCCAAAATTTATTGAATTTTTTCTATTTTTGTGTGAAAATCTTAATCCGGTTCACAGAATACATCTACATACCAAGTTTTAACAGCATATTTCTTATAGTTTCGGAAAAAAGTGGCTGTGACATACGGACGGACAGACGGACAGACAGACATGACGAATCCATAAGGGTTCCGTTTTTTGCCATTTGGCTACGAAACTCTAAAAATTCAGTTATCATTCAAGATCACACAATAAGAGAGATAAAACTAAAACGAAATCTCCTTAACCAGGAAAGATCTAATCAGAACGAATTAATCTATTTATTAGCTATCTATGAGTTTGATACGGGCTTACATCAAATGACAGATGAACGAATGACGTATGCAATCAACAGCTTGATTAAGAATTTCCGTGCGAACTTTCTAGTAATAAGATTAAGTAAGCACTAGGTGGTAGAGTAGGTTTCTTTCATTGATTTCATACTACTATATTTTTATTACGTTATGCATAAACAACATTGTGAAACATTTTTCATGTTTTTTCTCAGTGGTGAATACGTATCTGTGACAATTCTTTGGGTTTTGATCTTTGATTTTTTTCTCCATTTAACATGAGCGGCTATTTAATTTGTTACTAATTATATTAAAAATAGTATTATTTATAATAAATAACCAGACTGCAGTGATATATAGTTATTTACTAACTTCATTAGTTTGTCGACGCGTTCAACGAAATGCGCTTCAAGTCAATACTACCCTCGTTTTGCAAGCGTCAAATTGGTACTATTAGCAAGAAACGTGTAGTCGTGGACAATGCGAGGATGTAGAAAAATCTCACGACACCTCACTCTTCAAAATAGGTGGATCTGTTTAGTTTAACGAACAGACAAACACGTATTACGTAGACTAAAAACATAACCCTTCTTTTTTATTAAGACTGCAGAACGACTCAACTCATAAAATTTACGCTTTTTCTTTCTGCATCAATAACGAATGGGTCGGCTCGACCGGGGAAGGACCACGCTCTCAAAGAATACTAGCGTGAAATAGCAGCTTAATGCTACTGTGTTCCGTACATTAAAGAACATTCTATCTTAGTCCTCAGGGGTGACAATATTTTTAATTGAGGGTAGATGTAGATGTCTAAGGACTACACTATCCGCTAACCATCAGGTGGACTGCGTGCTCGTTTGTCTCCCTTATTCTATAAGAAGACACATCTTCTTATAGAATTTTTACGTGGTAGAGCCATGCTGCAGCTATATTATGGTTGTAGCACGAATGGGTCGGCTCGACCGGGGAAAGACCACGCTCTCACAGAAAACCAGCGTAAAATAGCAGCTTAACGCTGCTGTGTTTCGTATGGTAAGTGTAGAGAACCGGAGACCCTTTTTACTGGCAAAGAGGCATTCCATCTTAGTCCTCACGGGTGACAACGCATCTGCATCTTGAGTCTTTATTGAGGATAGATGTAGATGTCTATGGGTCACAGTAACCACTTACCATCAGGTGGACTGTGTGCTCGTTTGTCACCCGATCCTATAAAAAAAAAAAAAAAAAAAAAAAAATCTCACGTGTCCCTTACAAATGGGCCATGTCGCCACCTACTTAAACAATTTACGCAGTACACGGGGACTTGTTTCGCCGGCCCCGATAAGATAACGGCAGCAGATAACGCCCTTCTATTGTGTAAATTATTGCCAACATTTAAATGACGCCTGTAAGCTGATGGCTACGGAAAGATCACATTTATTTCGTACAAGACTCAATTCTGTGCAAATGAATAAATACTTAGTGTTGAAAGAAAGTACAATTGTTTATTCATTGCTCTGCAGCTGTTCATAAAGTTCCTTCACAATCGGTTCAGCGATTTCGAAGAATAGCCCAGAGAGACAGAAAGACAAATATTTAAGAAATGGTTCTACATGTTTTAATAACATGCAAATAAACTCCTGAGCTTAATAGAAGCCAGCTGTTTCGATATTACACACAGACACTCCAATTTAATTCATATGTATAGATGTATAAATCAAATATTTTTAAAAATGGTTATTTATGTCTTAATAACATGCAAATAAACTCCGGTTTAAGATGTATAGATCAACGTATTCTTTTGACCTTATTTTAATATACACAATTTAAAAACAGCAGACGCACAAATCACACATTCAAGTTAATAAACAGGACAACGGCTGACTTTAAAAAAATTAGTGGCAATCATATAAATCAAACCCTGATTAGAATAAAATTAAGAATGTAAAAAATTACAATTGGGGCGCTGAATGCCAACATAATTTAGTTTTGATTTTAAATTCTAACAAGTTATGGAAGTTGATCTATGCTAATAACACAAAATCCACAGTAAGCTTAAAATTACATAGTTCTAATGTTAATGTAATTACGGTCAGGTTACCTTATTTAAGATGATAATTAGAGCCAGTACAAACAAACTCACACACACGCATTCTCTATATCCCACCACCACGAACCTGACTGTTGTATAAAGAACTCCCAACATGTTGTACCTTTGAATTTGGTCAAATTCTCCTCATACACTTGATCGTGTTTGTCGTGATGCTCGCCACGGTGCCGCTTCGGCTGATGGGGACCGTCGTAGTACGCGCCTCCGTTGAGGCTCTCTTGCATCGCCTCTTGCGGGTCGAACCCGAGACGCTCTTTGTAGTACGCTTGCGTAGACATATTGTTTCACCAACTCACTTAGAACATAATTTGAATTTCGAACACTTTTCGGTCCACACTTCGTTCGCAACCACTACTTGAGTTAGTCACCGCGCGAGAGTCGCACTGTCCAGCGACGGAGTTACGTAAAATGCGAGTTATTTTGAAGGGATCCGCCAAAATCCCTCCACAATCACCCCGCTTACGGCAACCGAGGTCGTTTTTAAACGATCCACCGATACTTTATCGCGACTGATGTCATCCAGTCGCGGCTCTACAAAAGGAAAGTTGCAGAGACCCCTTGACACATACTTTTTGATCTTGACACAATTTTTTATGCACTTAACTCGATCGACAACGATTGCCCACTGCAGGACTTTACTTATAATTATAAAAGCTTGTTATATGTTAATATGGCAACTTTACAGATTAAGCGTTAGATTTTTGTAAATTTGGAATGGTCGGTTACTTTCTTTTTTAATTCGAACGTTTTAAGTCGTTTCGCACTGTTCGAGTTCGAGAGTGAGTCATTTGTTTCGTCTCTGGGTTTTCACATGAAGCTTGGTGCACACTTGAGCAAATAACAAAACTGAAACAACCTGCGAAAATAACGAAGATAGGTAATATACGTGTTGTTTAGAGGTCTGAGGTAATTCGTTTATTCATAATGAATCATTAAAACCTTCGTTGGAAAATAACTAATTATCAACGTAGTAACGTATTAAAAACGTGCGAATAAGGATTTGGGTAATTACAAAAATCATTCAAGTCAAAAACATTAATGGCATCTAGCATTATTGTAATAACAATAATAATGCTTCCTTATACGGCGTAGTACTTAAACTATAGGATGTTCTTTTTAATCAAGTAGGAATTACAATGTTACTGATTTAAATTACACATTACATTCATTCTATACCGCATTTCTTTTTCATGCTCTTCACTAATTTTATATATCTTTACATTGAGACATATTTTCTACTGTTTATAAAGGTCTCTTAGCGCTCAAATAAAAATACGAGTATATGGCGTTGATAAGTCAAAAGCAGCACAACCAGTCTAACAAGGATACAATTTAACTTTGCCTAAACTCAAAGGTAAAAATTATGTTATCGCTTCAGAATCGCAAATAGTCGCAAAAGACTTTAAAAGCTATTATTATAAGCGTATTCGTTTTGCGACGTCGTTCACTTATGCTTTTCTTTTATCATATTTAGGAACACACATATATATAAATATATCTTAGAAAAAAATATTTGAAGAACGGTTAAAACATCATAGAAATAATATACCTACTAAATATTTTTAATGTAAAATAAGGTACATATATAAATGGCATGTCATCCTATAATTTAAGTAGATATATTTACTAATTATACAACTCATTACTAAGCATGCCTTGCATCAAATTAGCCGCAAGACTAATAAATAAATAAATAATATATTATTATGATAGCTGCAAACTTTTCATTATTTCATATAAATTTATTATCATATACGTTATTTCCATAACCTTTTTAGTCACATTATAATTCAAAATGGAGCGGTTATATTATCATCATTTAAACAACTGATTCGAAGTTAAGTTACAGATACTATTTTAAAATCAATAGCTATTTTTTAAATATTGTTTAACTTATTTACACACACCTTTTGGTATTACGTGACTAGATTTATTAGGTGTTACTAGGTGGTCGAGCGCCTTTTTGGCTAGTTGGTTTGCGTAAGCATAATTAAATTTCTTAGTTATTTCAGTCTCAACATATGAATGCAGTTATAGCTGTGTTCCAATTTAAATAGAGAGAGTACTATAACCATAGCTGTGTGAATTTTAATCTAGTCCTTAGAGATGACACTGCACCTGGAGCGACCCTTGAACTCGGTCACATGTGTCCATGGACAGCAATAGCTAATTACCACCAGGTTATACGTGAACAGTATAAGCTTTGTATCAGTTACATAAAAATATCCGCACGTTAGTTAAGGCGATACCCCGGCCAAAACCTTGCGATAGTGCGTTTTTCTTCGTTATTCAGAGACTATTTTCTCATTAGTTATGAGAAATAAACTACATCTAAAAGCACATTATTAATGTTCGATATCCTATCATCACAATACATTTAAAATCTACTTTTAAAAAATGACTAAAATTATTGATTACATACATCTGTTGCTAAAGGCAACGCTCTAATCATTTGAGAGAGAGTTTTACAGTAATGTATAGATTATTTGAAAATCTATATTATTCACCTTTTATTTAATTTTTAAAGTTCGCTTTTCTTTTTTAATTAAAATTAAATGCAAAAATTGTGTGAATTCTATGATAAATGGGCGTACGCAGAGTGCGGGCGGCAGTGGACTGCATGCTCAAGGTTATTTGGCCAGGGAAACGCCTTAAGGGGTTTTAATTTGAAAGAGGAGATAAAATCATTTCCAAAGTCTTGTAAGATTCGACTTTAGGTCAAGAAAGTTTCATGGCCACTTGCACATCTAGACATGAAAAGGGGAAGTGTCTAATCTATAATCGTAGTTATTTGTATTTTCGATACGTATAGTTTCCCAACCTGCATATACTCCTACACTACAATAAAATTGGTATTTATAACTAAATCCGGAACAGAAGCAGTCCTGAATGTGTCAAAATCAAATATCTATAATAACCACCAGTCAATGGTGATCGATCAATTGTTTCAACGTATATCTAACACCTAAAACTACCAAGAAACCTGACGCTGCGGTGAAAATGAACTTCTAATTATGAACGACCTTAAACATCGATAGCCGCTGTATATCTCCTATGTATGATTCTAAGAAGTGATCCTTCGTCCAGGTAGATTTGTTGCGAACACAGACCTTAACAGGTTGGTCCCTCCTCAAATGAATGCAACAAAACAACAATTTGCAAAGCGTGCCAAAGGAATTCACTACCTACATAACATACAAACATACAGAACTAAAATTAAATAATAAAGCTTATTATCGTCGGGAGGAAAAGAGAAAGAAATAAAATATTTGTTGCTTCGGATAATCGGTTAAAAAAGGGGCCCACAGTAAAATTCAAATGTTTCTTATACAATAAGTACAATGCCAATGAGGATGTAGTAAATGGAAACCATTACTGCTCGCAATCCTAGCCAGCACTTAAACGTAAATTTCAAAACGCCGATAAGGTATCGGTATTTTGAAATTTAACGAATTTTATTTAAAATGCGTTCCGAAGTTTTTGCTACCTTGTAGTACTAGTTTTATTAAGCAGTAAACAAATGGTGTCGATGTCGTTTCATTATGGCTTCACGACAGAAAAGATGACCGTTGTTAATTACGATTCATAAATAAAACGATATATCATACTTTATTTTGTTATCACCGATACCTATCTTGACGGCTCCGTGGCGCACTTTAAATTGTTGACTTAAAACCTTGTTTCATACTGTTTCTTTTCTTTACCGTACCCTAAAAGTCCACAGCTGGACGTGGGCGAGACCCTATTCCTTAGTCCATTAAATCCTCAAATAAATATTTATTTATCATAATATTTATGTAGTTACTTATTCTCACAGTTCATCTGGTGACAATACTTATGAAGGCACTGCAGCACATTAATACTTGAGGTATCAATGCGCTGCTGCCCCTACTTCGAACAAAAAAGGTTTTTGGAATTGTAGTCACCACAGAGGTCTAAGATGAAATGCTTGTGACTCATGAGGGAGGGTCTATAATTGGGTATTCGACAAACACTTTTATCTATAGAAATTGTATGAGAATATTGTTTAATGACGCTATAGTTTTCAATGTCATGATTATCTCATTTTATCTTATTTAGCTTAAAAAGGAAAATCGACAGTTTTAAGACATCACTAATGGTAGCAAATTCGAAATATGAGATGTAGTAATTTATAATTGAAAGCGTCTTTTATCCAAACTACTGTTTTTATTTACTCTTTATATTGAAAAATAGTAGTAGAGTGCACTGGTGCTTGGCGGCAGAAATAGCAAATAAGAAAGATAGTGGTATCAACGAAATGATCTCCTGGGGTCCACCTAACAAATAATTACAATTAATTAATATACGTATTTGTGCGCTGGTAGCAAACAAGTAACAAGAGAATGTTTATCTTTCTTCAGATAACAAAATAATCATTTGCAATATACGAGAGTTAAAATACCCTAATCGCAGACAAAGAGTAGTCGATTGAAAATCCACTACCTATTGAGCGTGGCGATTATGGTGAACAGTTTAAAATTAGAAGAAACGTCTAAATATTGATCTATTTAAGGAGATTGTACGATATAAGACAATTCATCAGCACATTTTGTCCCTTTTTCGTCTCGTAGGTGCCAAAAGAGGCTACTAGGCGAATTTCCAGTATGTAATGAGAGACCCATATCCATCAGCGATCTTTCACGAGGTCACGGAGAATACCTAAGTATAAAACTTTAACTTAGCTCTACAAACTCCACAAACGTCACACCGTGTCACCAAAGGGCATGTAACGTCCGAAACTTCATGTACACGTTACAAAACAGGTTTGGCAACAAAAGTAAAACGCTAGTGCCCCTTTTGCAGCACCCAACTTATCTGCACGAAACACTCAAGGTCGCGCGATCTTAGTTCTCAAAATGCCCACCTCTACCGTGGGAATGAACGAAACAATGGGAAGCAGCTGTGAGATGGATGGAACGAATGCTTAAATAAATTTTACCTATTTTAATCTCGTTGTGTTTCCGTTTGTTGCCATTTTAGTACGGAATACAAATTAAGAACATCGTGACGTAAAAGAGAATGTAAACCGTTTCTAGTTTTAATGATATGACCACGAGATATACTGAATTCTGCAAAAGATAAGCGTTGGAATTCCGTACGAAATATTAATAAATTGATTGCGATTATATTCTGTGGCGTTCCTTGAGAGAGGCCTAAGTTCAGCAGTGGATTAGTGAAGGGCTATAATAATGACGATAACGATTTCTTTAACGGACTTCCATTTGGCACGATCCTGACACACCTCTCTCGCTTCCTC